GCAAGTACGTCACTTAAGCTTTGATTCCTGAGGCATCCACCTCAAAGATGGCTATCTACAATAAACACAGTGCCAACCACAGGGCTAGATAAAGCCCCTCCTCAGGCTCCTTTGTTTTAGAGACCTTTATTGATTTACCTAACTGACCACTTGGGCCATTATTTTTTCTCTTCTGGTGTCTTAAATTCCTGCTCTGATGTTTTAAATTCACCAATATAGAGTGAGCCCATGAACCCCTAGACTCTCACCCTCAACACCAATAAAAACAGAACCCTAAGTCTGTCCTCTCTCTCTACCAGTGAGCTAGACTTATGGCCCCAGGTGTGCCATATAATTTCCATGACCTGTAAGTAATAAGCATTTTTTTCTAGGGTTCCCGATGGTTATTGCTGAGGTCATCTTGCAATCATAAGAATCACAAGGGCTGGTTCAGCCACAACATTGGTTATCAAGATGCTGAGACCAGCACACAACACCAAGACAACTCATGGTTGTTAATCACTAGAACTATAGGAGAGCATAAGAAATCCTAGGCTAGAAGTTCAATGTTTCTTCATATTGATGATAAGGACATTTCCTCATCATAAATGAACTATTTACTTCACAAATATCTCATACCGGTTCCCCTCATATTGATGAACTGAATACTAAACATGGCTATTTACTACAGTGTATATGTGGAGGCTGTGCAGTTAATTTATTTACACCTATTTCACCATGATACAGGTCATAAGCTAAGTATTGGTCAATGGAAATAGGTTCCAGGAGATTTACTTCTGCTTTGAACCTGCTGCAATATTTGTTTTAAATGGCTCATGCTTGGTAATGTGTAGCAATTTCAAAGTGGCTGAAGATTTTTCTCCAAAGCATTGTACTTTCGTTTTTATAACAACCTCCCAGGTGTGCTTTCAGTTAAGGTTTAGTTCTTTTTATCTGGAGTGGGTGAGTAAGAAAGTTGGGATTAGGTCTTAATACATCAAATTATGTTTGCATTATAGTGATGTAGATTTTTATCACAGCAAGTGTAATTTTTGAATACTAAATTTTACTGCATACATAAGACAGATACGTGTATTAAAGGGGTTCTGACATGCTCTCATGGTTATATGTGTCTCATGGTTGGTACACACCACATTAGACTGGGACTACCTCCCCATATAATTGTACTTTTCCTGCAAAGAGTAGGTGAATGTACCTTGCAATGCATTACTTCCGGTATAACATTATGACACATAGGAGATGATGTGGCTGGAAGCCCCTGGATCAGAAGAAAATCTTTCTACTATATTTAAGGACCACCAGCCATCAGTATATACCTGTGGTTTACATTACAATTTCAACTTAAATGAGGAGGAAATGCCTTTTCCCAAACCTTCTTCCTGGTATACCTCTGGATTAGAGTTGATGGCAAGAAAAATATTTGCAAATGAAGAGGCTGTCACTATGCTCTGAAGTCATCCTTGGTCCAAGGCAGTGAGGAACAGGATCAGAAGTACCACTTTATCATATTATGCTAAGTACTCTTCAAAGATGGCACCCAGACTTACCACAGCTCCCAGTACTCACATTCCTGTCAGTCCCTTCCTCTTGACTCTGGGCTGGCCTGTATGTGGTGGAAACAACACTGTATAATTTTCTAAGATAGGTCATAAGTACCTATCTTTTTATCAAAGATCCCACCTGTGTCTTTTGAATGCTCATTCTTGGAGAAGTCAGCCACTATGTAACAATTTTAACTACCCCGAAGGCTACCATGTTGTTAAGAAATCCACCTAATACATTGAGGTGCTGTGTGGAGAAAGTGAGACATGCCAGGCTGGTCCACAGCTTTTCCAGCCATCCCAGGTGAGGGATCAGGTATATCCACAAAGAAGCCACCTTGGGTGTCCAGCCCGGGTGAGCCTTCAGATATCTCCAGCCTTGGTGACTAGCTGTGACGACATGAGAGCCCCAAGTGGGAACTGCCGAGCCAAGCCTATTCAACCTACAGAAACATGAGAGATAATACATTTTTATTTTGTCACTAAATTTTGAGGTTATTGTTATTGTTGTTGTTGTTTTTCTAAGCTTTTTACTGAGGCATAAAACACATTTAATGGATGGCTCAAATCTTAAGTGTACAGCTTGGTGAATTTTCTCAAATGAATACACTTTTGTAACTACCACCCTGATCAAGATATAGGACGTTTTCAGAACCCCAGAATTCTCCCTCATGCTTCCCTCCAGGTAAGTTAAAAATGCCTCCAAATGTAGCCACTATATTACCTTCATATAGTATGTACTCTTGTGTTGGCATCTTGTGTTCAACATTATGTTTAAGAGATTCATCCATCTGTGATTTTACAAACAATATTTGATTTTTTGCCATATTTTATTCTATTATACAAATGTAACGCAGTTTATTTATCCATTGAATTGTTGATGGACGTTTAAGTGTTTTCCAGTTTGAGGTCATCATGAACAAAGCAGCTATGATGGCATTTTTCTCACATATTCTTTTCTATTTCCTCAAAATTCTGGAACATTTCCTGAGTTTCTATACAATAAACAAATTGGTTTTCTTTTTTTGGGTGTGTGAGGAAGATCAGCCCTGAGCTAACATCTGTTGCCAATCCTCCTCCTTTTTTTCCCCTTTTTCTCCCCAAAGACCCAGTAGATAGTTGTATGTCATAGTTGCACATCCTGCTAGTTGCTGTATGTGGGACGCTGCCTCAGCATGGCCGGACAAGCAGGTGACGGTGCGCGCCCAGGATCCGAACCCGGGCCACCAGTAGCAGAGCGCGTGCACTTAACCACTAAGCCACGAGCCGGCCCCAAAAATTGGTTTTCTGACTTGTCTAATTTATTCTACTCATTGCTTCCAGTATATTTTTAAATTCAGAAATTGTGTTTATTGTACCCAAGAAATATTATCATTCTTTGATTATATTTTTCTATAAATTGTTCTTCTTAGTTAAAAGATGAAACGGCTTCTCCAAACTTGCTAAGGAAACATTTAGTGATATTTCAACTATTTTAATTTTTTGACTTTCTTGTCATACAATAACTCTCTTTCAGCTTGGCCTTGGGAGTGGGATCTATTATGAAACTTACAGCTTTTCAGTGCCAAGACGACTCTGAAAATGTAAATGGTTTAATAGTTTTTTAGGGGATGTTCTAAAAACAAGTAAAATGCATGTACTGATATACTATGTTTCATAAATTCCTCAATGGACAGGAGAAAATCTGTGTACCTTCTCGTTATGCCCAAGATGACGAAGAAGAATAAGACTATCTATCTCTTCTTATCGTCTCTTTAATTTTCTTTCTTTCGTTGGATAGGTTGAGATAGCCTCAACCTATCCCATTGCCTCTGGAATGTGGCTTGCACATAGGGAGCAGAGACTCTAGGGGCTGGGTCCCCGACTGCCACAGAAGTCCATGACTGCATCATCTGGCTCAGGAGATGACTGCCCTTAAGTGTCTGTGAACATGGTCTGGACAGTCCAAGTGAAGCATCTTAGATCCAACCCATTCCCAATGGTTTCCTCACTATTGTCACAGAACATTAGTTGCAATGACTGTTGGAATGCTCATCACAGTACAGTTCAGTGTTTTACATCCTATTCAGAGGTTAGTGTCTGTTTTCCATCTCTCTATCTCAGTATATCAGTCTCTGTGTGAGTCAGCCTTCCACAGAATATACGGGAGAAGAAAGAACAAGCTAAACACAGAATCAGGAAGAAATCCAAACAAAATGCATGAAGCCAAGCCTTGTATGTTAAGGTCAGGGACTCCCCACGTTTTCCTCGGTTTTGTTTGTCCCAGGAGTCACAGGGCCACACAGGAGAACAGACTGGGTTTCTTAAATGCTTCCAAGAATATTTAAAAATATATTTAATCCAGCATTTTTAGTTGGATGCAGTGTAAATGTTAGTCTGAATAATATAGTCTGTGATACATTTCTAGAAACAGAGTTAGGTGATCAAATAGAAACTTGCAAACAAATGCAATCCCAAGAATAAACACCACCTGACTTCTAATTCCATAGTTAGGTGGCAGACCACAAAGGGAGAACATATATAGAAAACATAAAGACCATTTGCAAAATAATACGGACCACCTGTCTGCTGATTATTCAAGCACATATTTCTCTCAACTCTGACTGTGCCTACTAAGTGCCAAGTGCAGTTACAGGAGCCTGCTGGGTATTTCTATGCAGACGTCCAAGGAAGGTCCACTAGATCTAGAAACACAATTCTGTCCAACAACTTCACTCCACTCATTCTTCCAAATTTTCTCTTATCGCCATATTCCTCTGAGGGTGAGCATCTGTATTCCTGTTATTATGTGATCACTCTCTCCTGACGTAGCTCCATAAGTCTGTATCACTCAGGTGGTGCTTGTGCATCTGGTGAAATCCTCCTCATCATTCGAGTTTCATCTCCCCTTTTGCCTTCTCTTTGAAGCCCTTCCTGATGTCACCAGACAGAACTGGCCGTGTTATTTCTTGTACTCCACTAACATCTCTGATTAAAGCACACATGTATGATATTAGATTACAATATTTGTCTTTACTATTTTTCTGAGGAAAGGGACCATTTTCTGTTCATTTTTGTTTTCCAGTGTTTGGTAAAATAGAAAAAAGAGCTGGATTGTAAAATTAATAACCTCTCTCTTCTCTCTTCTCCTCTCTCCTTCTTCCCGTCCTCCTCTACCTCCTCCTACTCTTCTTCTTCCTTCTTCTTTTCTCCTTCTTCCTCTCTCTCTCTCTTCATCATAGTGTTACATGGATAGATATAGATATATGCATATATGTCATTTAAAACCAACTCAGTGGGTCGCTGAAGTGCCGTGCCATTACACAAAGCGTGCTGATGGCAGCAGCTGCTTTGAAGGCCTGGTTGAGGTGCAGGAAAGCAGGCACAGCAGGTTCTGAGTCTAGAAAGGCCACGCCACCTTGTGGGGAAACATGGCTTTGGGACACATTTATGCACAGAGAGGAGGTAGCTGTGCTTCACTGTGTCTCTACTACTGGCACAGAGATACAGGGCTGTCTGGTTCTTTTGTGTTGATGCCACAGTGAGGGGAAAGAATGCCTTTTTCACCCGAGAGGCATTGTAGCCTTCAGACACGTCTCCTTTCTGAATATCATTTACAAACCGTGAGTAGTAGATGAGTCTCAGCCCTTGTCCTGGGTCCTGTCGGTACCAGTACATGTAGTCGTAATCCAAATTCTGTTCACATTCCAGGGTCACCTCTTGTCCTTCTTCTCTGAGCAGGTATTTTGAACTCTGAGTGATTCTAACGTCCATGGTGCCTAAGGAAGAGAGAGAAAAGCTCTCGAAACACAGCCCAAGAGGGAGCCTAATGCTGCTGTCATGGAAGAAAGGCTTAATTCTGGACCTTGGCACCCTGGAGACAGGAATTTTCTCCCTGAACCCAGGACTCACCTGCTCCCAGGAGACAAAGGGATACCCAGCAGAACACCTGGTTGCGCATAGTGGGCAGGGGGTCTCCTTATAGCTCCAAGAACTTGCTGGAAGACAAATGCGAAAAAAACTTAGCTCTGGGGATCCCCCTGCTTTAATATACAGAATTTGTCAGAAGGCTAGACTGAATAGTTGGAAGAGATCTTAGAGATATATGTGGCAAGCTCCCTAGTTCTGTGGATGAGAAGACTGAGAGCTGAGACCTGAATCACTTGCTCCTCCCTTGTGCCTCCCTCCTGAAACTCTGCACTCTATCTGGACTGACTAGGACGGCACCCCCACATCTCCAGGCCAGAGTCTCCTCTGACTGGCCCGCTGGATTTCACCTTCCTAGTGATGCTCATGTCTGATCACTATGGGAGCACTGCAGACACTCTGGTCACACAGAAGGTAGATTCATTTCTAATCTCATCCTCTCCCTGAGGAAAGAGTGACTCTGAGGTCTGTGCAGAGGTGTCTGTGGCAGCGATGGAAAGGCACCACTCAGATCTGCTACCAGGAGCCCAGTTGCTCTAGATCCTCCTCTGCATTCAGGCCCAGGTCCCGCTATCATTCTAGCACCTTCTCTCTGGCCGGTTTTACTTCTGTCATTTTCATTCCCTTAGATGTCTCCTTGCCTTTCTTCAATGCACTTACTGAATTTCCAATTGACTTTATTCTTCCTTGAGTATCTTTAATTCATTCTTCATTTCTTGGATAATTTTGTCTTTTTCTTTCATTTGTTTCCTGAGTCAAAAAAAAACATGTTTTTTTTTTTTTGTTGTTTTCATTTCTCCCTGTATTTGCCATTTCTGTTCTTAAGTTTGGACCTTCTGGTTATAGGTGGATTATCCTATCTTCAGCTGCTTGCTGGAGTCTATTTAATTCTGTCCGGAGTGTAGACTTCCATTTTCTTCTGACTCATGAATGTTTTGGGAGGAGACAGTGAGAGGTGGAGGGTTTTCCTCTACTCTATGGATTTTGCTTTCCTCTTGTTCATTTTTGTGATGTTGAGGTGTTTTACAATATACCCAGCTAAATGGTATTCTTCCCAGTCTTTCTAGCGAAGGTCAGGCACCTTAGCAAGGTAGTTTGTTTGTTTTCATGGTTGGGGGGAGGGTTGTTCCGAGTCCTCTTATTTTGTGATTTTCTTTTTTTTTTGTGGCACTCTAATTTCCCCCTTTTTCTTCTTTTCTCCTTCACTATCCAATTGCTAAAGGACCCTTCTTCCTTTTTTTTGCCTTTTTTTCTCCCTCAGAATCTATACATTCAGGGTCGATCCCTTTCAATCATGAGCATTTCTCTTTAAGCAGATTGAGTGCACCTTGAAACCTCCTTCCTCAAGTCCTGCTCAGGTCTGCCTCAGGGGCTGTTCTTTTCTGGTGGTCCCTCAACTCCCCCTCAGGCCCAGCCGTTGCCCCTCCTCTGTCCCTCTCACAGTATTTCTGCTCCACCTCCTCCAGGGCAGGGAGGGGAGGAACCAGGGCTACCAGAAACAATTTCAGAAAATCAAAAGGCAGAAAACACAGCTGAGTGACTGGTTTATACTCCATCCTGGTGAGAGGGGACTTCCTTGGTCTGTGTGTATTTGAAGTGACTTGGCATTTGTCTGCCTTTTGATTTTCTGAAACTGTATCATCAAAGCAAATGAAAATAAACATTTTTCTGTAGGTGTCTGACATTTGTTCTGTGATGAGAATAAAAAAAATATTCACTTAGGGAACAAAAATTTGAGGTGATGTTTTTCTGTTGAAGAGTATTTTGAGGCCAGTCCCATCTCCTAAATTCCAGACTAACGTATCCAACTCTATTATCACCACCTCTGGGATATCCTATAGCTGGAGTTTTTAATCCTGGCATCGATACACATACTTGCATACACACTAGGCAAGGGACGTAACCTGGATTATTCCGGAAAGAATAAGAGACAACACAGCATGGTATAAAAAGCACAACCATTTGATCCAGCCAAACGTGGGTTTGTGTCCTATATCTCTCTCCCTCTTTTTTTTTGGAACCATTTTTTCTCATGTTGAAAATGAAGAAAATATTTCCTTTTCTTGATTATCTTGCTGATTAAATGAAATTCTATATTTAAAGCAAGTAGTTGAGAACCTGAAATAGAGTGTGAATTTTAAAAATCTTTACACTTTTTGGGTGACCGAGTACTAGTTCCAGACCATGGGCTGGCATGTTCCATGATATTTCTACAGTCATCCCCTATTTCCGTCCTCACCTCTCAGAATATCTTATAGTTGGTTTATTCCCTAATCAAACAACATGTCCCCTCCCCAGCCCCTGCTGTTTCCAAGGCAGGGCCTGGAGGGTGTCTGTGCACTGAGAGGATGTGACTCTGCATTGATGTGGATCAGGAGCTGGCACAGAAATCCACTGCTGCGTCTCCCAGCTCGCCAGCTATATCTTTAAGACGCTGGGTCCCTCTTTGGGAAATTCAGCAGAAAAGCATTTCCTTGGCATTCCTGACTCACCTATGACTCTTCTTTCTGGAGATAAATCATGAATTTCATGCCCTCCTCCAGGAGATGTTGATACCAATAAACATGACTGTGTCCTGTCACTGGGCTGCATCTCAGTGTTGCTTCCTGGCCCCTTCCTCTGACCAGGTGTCTTGGGTTCTGGATGACCCTGGCATTTGTGGGACCTCAGAAAAGAAAAGATTGCATGAGACTGAGTCCTAATGGCAGAGGAAGCGAGTGTCTTACAACGAACCAACCCAAGGCAAGATCGAATATTTTTGAAGTCTCCCATGTTCATTTAAAAATTCACGTGAATTTTGCTTTTTACTCCATAATGCAATTCTTTGTTTTTATTTAGATGTCAATTTCTTTCACAAAATCTCCGGGCAACATGGAGGTCCAGGACATATTTGAGACACAGCCATAGAGCCACAGACAAAGCCAAGTGATGCTAATCCCTTAGCCCACAACTCACCTGCTCCCAGGAGCCAGATGACCACCCAGCAGAGGAGTCTGGGGCCCATGGAAAAGTTGGGTATGGAGGGGAGCCCACAGGCAGGGCCCAGGAAAGGTGCTGACTGCAGCAGCTCAGGGATCCAGACCTCACAGCTGCCTCCCATGAGGCGGGTCTTCCTGTGAGGTCACCATTTCCAGTGGATTCTATTTTCTCTAGAACAGATCTTGTACATAAGTAGAATGCGACCTTTTTTTCTTAAATATACGTAAAACCCAGCTTCAAACGTGTTAGTGTGGGGTATAGTGTTGTGCAGAGCAAGTTGAGAGATGAATGTCTTCATTGTTGGTGCTTAGTTTCTGAAACGTTAGTATTTACCACTTCCTTCTCCATTTTTTCTTCTCCTTTGTTTCACTGGTTCATATCATCTTTCCATTTTCTGTGCGAAGTAGAGGTAGTGACCAGATGTGATATCAGGGGATGCATATCGAGTGACAAAGAAGTGGAGACCAGGATCAGAGAGAGGAAATGATTTAACTCAGTTTCCTTCTTTCCTCCTTCACCTCAACTAAGCAATGATTTCAAGCATCTTGAGGAAGCTTATTTTATCGTTTATAATTCACTTCTCATCTTTTGTTATTCTGTGTGAATTTTTAATATAAATAATTCAAAGAACAACCATTAGAAAATCTAAAAACTCTTCCTCTCACCTCATGTCCTCAGAGCCTATTTATTTATGTGTATTGTTCTCTTTAATCATGGATGAGATACCTATATTTGAAGGATCTTCCTTTCTTCCATTCTCCTGTCCTCTCCTACTCTGTGGCATTGAAAAGAATTCTGAGAATGTCTACTTCTTCCCAGGCATAGTGAAAGGAAGATACAAAGAAGAATAAGGCACTATCTAAGGGTAACTTGGTTGCAAATACAACACACCCCAGAGAGTGATGTATAGACTTAGAGCACAAAAGAAAACATTATATTTAAAGAAGTGCTCACTTATATTACGAAAAATTTGAAGGAAATGTTGTAGGATTTTATTTTAATGGTCATGGTCCAAGGAGGACAGGACACAAATTTGGGTCAGGTTATGTTCAGTGCTATTGCCGTATTCCCCTAAAACAAGGCATGTGGGCTGCAGGCTGTGTCTGTAACAGTCAGCTGGGTTGGAAAAGGCAAGTGTGGACACAGCATCCACCCATGTGACCTGACACTGCAATACTGTGAAGCTTAATGTAGAGGAGGGAAATCAATGCTTGACACTCCAGAGCCTAAAATGTTCTTCTCTTTTCCTTGTTATTGGTGAAGGAAGCAGTGGGATATTTAAAAGGGATTTTGCTAGCTCTCTTCTCCACGCTGAAAATGCTGATAGAGTAGGGGGCTACAATTAAAACGGGTCCCTGGTTTCCATGGCAACGAACACAGTCTGAGGTTGACTTACCGCGGGCAGGGTATTTAGTCACCAATGACAGGATGGACCTGATCATCATGTCGATATAATGTGGCAACATGTCCGTGGCTGAATTGGCTCCCATCTTGTTCCATTCAATTCTACCTTCGTCAGGTCTTGCTTCCACACCTTCATTTTCACCCGTGGTGTCTAAGCCCTTTCCCTGATTCTCGCCACACAATGCTCTTCATTCTCCTCTTCACAGACTCTTAGTCCCTTCAGTTATTTGTATTCTCGTTTTCTGTTTTTTGATCTCATATGCATAGGATTTGATTCATTTTAACCCTTGGTTCATCACCGACAGGCACTCTGGCAGGTCCGTGGTTATTTATTTATTTAAAAAAATAGTAGGTACTTGTAAAACATCTCTCTCTTCCTTGCCCCAAAATACTCAAGATCGACCTTGACAATATGTTAATCTAACAGTGTGGTTCTGTCCCATCTCTTCTCCTACCACTCCTCACCCAGGTACCATACTAAGCACCAACCTGAACTTGAGTCATCAGCACTCCTTGTCAGTGTGTGCTGGTAAATTTTTGACAACCAGCTCTCTGGAAGATAATGAAACAAGCCCAGATTTGCTGTGTCTGCTGTTAACCATGGTGTAAATATTCCCACTGTGGCTGATTCAAGCTACCAACATGATGCCATTGAACTTGGAGTCCAGAAAGATGTATACAGTTAGCTTTTATGAGCTGACAAAAGCTAGTTCCAGCAACAACTGTTTCTTGCTTTCCTTTTAATATAATTTTATCTAATCTATCTGTAGTCACAAAAATTATTTTCTTGATTTAGTTGTAGAATTATAAAATGTGCACCATGCTTCACACAATCTTATTAGAGTTTGTTTTTGCATTTGATATTATATTGCTAAGATTCACCTATAACATTGCTTATTACTGGAGTTCATTCATTTTGGTTGATATATATATAACTTTCTATCGTATGAATCAACTACAGTTTATTCATTCACTCTCTTGTCAATGCATCTATGGCTTGGTTCCATGTCTTGGTATTGTGAAAAGTGCTGCTTAGAACACTTTGTATTTATGTCTTCTGATGTGCATATGTAAGAGCTTCTCGTGATGTAAACCTAGGACTGGAATTGCTGGGTCATGGAATACAGGAAAGATCTACTATATGAGATACCGCCAAACTGTTTCCAAATTGTTTGTATCACTAAAGCTCCCAGCAGTAATCCTGTGGATCCATACCCTCTCTACCAGTTTATATTTCCGAGAGTTTTACATTGCCAATTGAATGGATATCAACTTACATATCATTATGTTTTGCCTCACATTTTCTTACTCATCAGTGAGGTTAAATATCTCCTCATTTGTTTATTGGTCATAGGTATTTCTTCTATTAAATGCATGTCAGTATGTTCTGCTTATTTTTTATTGGGTCATACAAGATTTGTGGTCAATGTAATTTTTGTTTTTTCCTAAGAAGGGGTTTCTCCGAAAGGCTTACGCTAACAGCTCCATTTAATATCTCCAGGCTTCTGACAGAACTTTCTATTTCTGTTCACAAGCCATGTTGTGTGAAGTCTTTCGTATATGCTCCTTCTGCCTTCTCTTCCCTTTGACACCTTTCTTGAGATCCAGCTCAGTCAACCCCTTCTCTATGAAGGTTTGGTATGCTCTGTACCTAGGTATAGAGGATGCATGCCTTCCTTTGCACCTGGTCTTACCCTGTTCATTCATCTTTCAAAATACTGTATATGGCACATCATTTAATTCTTTCATGTGTGAATATCTCTGCTTGGTTGCCTTATGATTTTCTTCATCTTGAGTATCTAAGATGGAGACAAGACAGTGCTGAATAGTCTTAGAGAGCCAAATACCAAAGTTTATTATAGAAAATACACTGAGTTTTATAGAAATTTTTCAGATCTACCTGTAGGGAGGGATGGAAGAGAGATGGGAGTCTCTTTACACTGCTTGACTGGCAACAATCTAGAAAACTGGATAATGCCAGAAGAGGATTGGGGGCTATGGAAAGGCTTATGCAATTTTAAATGGGATTTTAGACTTAAACAGCATTTCTGAAGAGCCTTCTGGTGGTATTTAGATACATAAAATAACGTATACATATAGTACTCCATGTCTCAGCAATCATGATTCTGGGTACATAATCCTGTAAAAGGATTGTACAGGTCCGTGATGTGATATGTACAAGCATATTCAGATGCTGGCATGAAACTGGAGGAAAACTGGTGTCTATTTCTGGTGAAGTGGGTATAGAACATTGTGCATCATTTAGAAGCAACAGGCTATATGTACATACAGAAAAATGAAGCATTTCACTTGCTTTGAGCAGAATGGAACAATCTAAGAGACAGAATTACATGCATAATAAAGTAAGATTTACATGATTTTAAATACATACACACACAGCAAGTTTTGAATGCTCCGGCAGAAGATTCATGGTTGCATCATGATCAGTCTGTTCTTTCTCATGGGATTTTAAATCCAGGTTTAGAAAGAGCTGGGCTGATCTTTGTCAGTGTGCTGGAATGATGACAACTGAAGTGTGACCTTCAATGACCATCTTATCTTTGTCGTGAGGACTGGAGGAAAAGAGAAAGAGTACAGGGAGAGAAAAACATGCAACAGACAAAATAGGAGAATAAACGTGAGAACTGGAGAGGCAGTCATTCCAGACCCTGGTTAAGTGGTGTTTTTTGCCAGAATTGTCTGTCCATCACTCCTTGACTGCTGCTAAATACCCTTTAGCCTTGTACTAAGTTCCACTGTGACTGAAGCTAGCCCCAGTTAATTTCTGTTACTTCCTTCCTACCTCATACATCACCTGCTTCCTGAGCTGGGTCCATGATGAGTTTGTGCACTAAGAGGAGCTACCATTTCAACGCTGTGGATTGGCTGCTGGCGCAGAAATACAGTGCCGAGTCTCCTAGTTCAGAGGACTGGATTTCTAGGCTGCAAGGTGAGTTTTTGGGGCATTGAGCTGAGAATCGCTCCTTGACCAAATCAATTTGATTAAGAATGTTTTCATTCTGAAAATAAATCAAAAACTTAAACTCTTTTTTCTGGATCTGTTGATACCAGGAAACAAAAGTATGTCCTTTTTTGGGGTTACAATCCATCCTTGCTCTCTGTCTTTTGCCTTTGACCAGATGTCCTGGAGTCTGGGTGACTTTGGCATCAATAGAGCCTGTAAGAGGAGGACACAGCTGCTATACAAAAAGCCCTGAAGGGAGCCTGACAAGGAAAAATCTTGGGCCTGGGAGTTGGCAAGTGAAGAATGGGATTTTTCTTTTGTGCTCAGGACTCACCTACTCCCAGGAGACAAAGGGCTACACAGCAGCGGAGACTTGTACCCATTGTGGCATCAAGGTAACGAAAGGATGAGGCTTTTCCATGCCTCATCAGCAAGCAACCTTCTTGTGACGTGACTGCTTTGCAGACTCATAATCATGTTACTGCTTCACGTTACTGGGCAAAAACACTTCACAGTATCAGAAGGAAAGCTTTTATCCTTCCTCAGTAAATAAAATTAGTTTATATTTTATTCATTTAAAAATATTCAATTTAAAAGCATTTTACATCTATTTTCACTAACTGAAACAGTAGATACATATATATTTTAGGAAGTTAGAAAATAAAGATAAAATAAAACACCGTCTATGCGGAAGATGATCACTGTTAACACCTTAGTGATTTTCTTTCCAGATCTCTCCCTCTCTCTCTGTCTTTATGTGTGTGAGTGTGTACATACACACATTTTTTTATAAAAAATATATCATTCTGCAAATGTTGTTTTATAACCTTGTTTTTCCAGTTAATGATCATCATCTTTCCCTGTCAATGCATTTTCATTTTATCTACTACTCAGTTTCTATTCAAAATTTATCAGTTGTCTGAAAAATGTCCTTTATCATTGTTTTGAATATCAGTTTCTAACTCAGGACTGGGCACTGCTTTTGATGGTTAACTATCTAATTATCTTTTAATATAATACAGATCCCTGTTGTTACTGTTGTTTTTATGATCCCAAGACTAGCCACTGTTTTGCAGAATTTTTCACCTACTTGTTATTTCTGGTGCATTTTAGCTTGTTCATTTATTAATGTTTATTTTCGATAACCTCTCTTTTTTTTTCCTGATTTTTCTCTCCATCACCCTTTATTTTTAATAGTGCACTTCTTTTTTCGGGATCTATTTTTGCTTATTGTCTTCTTCCTTCATCCCATCCCCATTCCAGGTAAGTAATGTTAACCACTTAATGTGTATCATGTCACAGATTTCTCCTTACTCATTTGGTTGTTCAATGAGGTTGTTCAAAAAATTGATATTGAATATATGCACAAGAATTTGATAACATACCAATAAAATGAGCACTTGAACAAATACCTCCTCTTAGGAAACAAAATATTGCCAGAGTCTTTGAAATCTCTTGTTTCTTTTCCCAGATCTGCCCCACCACCCACTGTTCTCTAATTCTGTTTAGGTGTTTGTGTTTATCTTTGTTTGCTTCTAATTTCTATTTTAATACATAGGTTATAACTAAATAGTGTGTAACAAAATAGTGTGTAGTTTTGCATGCTTTAAACTTTCTACAAATGGGACAATGCTGTACATGTCTTCTGTAATGTAATTTTTCACTCAAAATTATAAAATTCAGTCATATTGATGTGTTTAATTTTAGGCTATTCATTTTCAGCGCATACATAAAACACCAACATTTATGTATCTGTTCTCCTGGTGGTGTACATTTGGGTAAGTCATGGTTTTTTGCTACTACAAAGTAGTGTTACACTGAGTGTTCTTGTACTTGTTCCCTGGTTTTTAAATATAAGAGTTCCTCTAAGAAAGAGTTTCTCAAGCGTGGAATTGCTGGATAGTGGGTACACACATCTTTTTTTTACAGCTTTATTGAGGTGTAATTGATATACAAAAAAATCTGGGCATATTTAGTGTATAGAATCTGATGAGTTTGGACATACGCATACACCTGTCATATCATCACCACAATCAAGGAAATAAACATATTCATCACCTCTAGAAGGTATACACACCTTGAACTTTGCTAGAGAATGCCAAATTGTTTTCCAAAGCAGATCTACCAATTTACAATCTGTCCAATGGTTCAAGAGAGTTCTTGACATGTTGCCTTGCCAACACTTGATGTAGTGCTCCTTTTTCATTTTAGCCATTCAGGTGATATACTTTATTGTAGTGTTAGTCTGCATTTCCTTGATTAATAATTAAATTTAGCAATGTTTACATGTTTAATGGTATATTAAATGCTCTCTTTTGTGAGGTAGTTGTTGAAATTTTTACCCATTTTTCTATTGAGCTAATTTTCTCCCATGGATTTGTAGAGAAATTAACTTGTAGGTGTTCTTATAAATTCTACATACTAGCCTTTCTTGGGTACATAACTATATATATATATATAATATATATTTCTTAAATGTGTATAATATATATAATCATATCTCACTATAGGGCTAACCTTTTCATTCTTATATAGTTAATTCTGGTAAATGGAATAACTTGATTTTGATGTAGTCATTTTTAGCAATCAGCTCCTTACTGATAAAGAAGATTAAGAAATCCTTTCCTACCTTGAGGCTATGAAGATACACTCCTAAGGTATATTCTTAAAGCTTTGTGGCTTATTACATTTATGTTTCTATTACAGCTGGAAGTAATTTGGGATATGTTGTGAGGTAAGTGACCAATGTCATTATTTCTTCAAACAGACACCCAATTTTCCCATCAACACGTGTAGAAAAATCTATTCGTTGACTTCTGCGCTACCAGCTTTGTGTGGATATGGACATATATACATTTTTTTCCCATGGATCAATTTATATGTCACTGGCCCTATGCTACACTACCTTTATTACTGTGGTTTTATAATAATTCTTGACATTTGTTAGATCCTCCCACTTGGTTATTCTACTTCAAGAATGTATTAGCTATTCTTGTTCTTTTGCAGCATAATACAAATTTTAGATTTAACTTATCAAGTTCTTTCAAAAACTTATTTGGATTTTGATAGGATTATATTAAATGTATAAATCAATTTGGAAAAATGAACATTTTTTAAAGCATTGAATCTATTCAACCTATAAAGATAGGATATATTTCAATTTATTTGAGTCTTCTTTAATGGCTGTCAATAGACTTAATATATTTATATTTACTGCAATGTAAAAGTCTTATTCTCCAGCATAAACTAACATATTACTCTTCCCCTACTTCTACCTGTTATCCAGGAAGTGTTTATGGTTTTTTCCACTAGGGTTACTTTTTTTCTCACATTTTTCTTAGACACATCATTAGACAGGCCAAAACTCTCTCTCTAAACTCCCTCCTTTGTTTTTGCATTCTGTACCTTGATCACTGCTCACTCAATCAGCCTTAACAGTCCATTTCTGTGTTCTTTAATCTCCCTAAAGAACCAGAATACTGCAGTCTATATTTCCAGGCATTTTATCTCTGTTATCTAAATCTATACTTTGGGTGGAGTTTTCTGGCTCCATAATTTAATTCTCTATGTTCTGAGTGCTGCAGAATCCATATCTCTAGTACAGCTCTATTGCATCTCAATTTCATGTCTGTATATACAGCTACCTACTTCCGATTTTCATCTGGTTGTCCCATAGACAATTCAAACCTGGCTATCCCAAATGAGAATTGCTACTGCTAACAGGATCCCATATTATTTGAAGTTGTGGCCATTGTAAAAAACCAAAGTCATATAGAGACAACTGAAAAATTATGTTGATCACTTGTCTGCTGATGACAACCAAATACCTCTCTCGAGCCTCAGGTCTCTCTTTTAAGCAGCAGCCTAAAAGGGACTTCCATACTTACATCCATGAAACCAGAAACTCAACTTATTCAAAAACTCCATTCTATCTATTCTCTCAAATTTGTCTAATTGGATTTAATTCATATCGGTTGATCATCTTCTTTGTTTTCATTAATTTTTCCCTGAAGTGTCACTCTCTTTAATATGCCTTTGCAGAAGGTGTTCTCTTTGTCTAGAATGAACTACCCACAATCAGGTCTATCTGGTGAAGCTCAAATGTAACCTTCCCTTAGCTTTTTTCTGATGCAGCAGACAGAATTGGCATGTCCTCCCCGGAGCTTCCAGAGAACTTCTAATTATAGTACTATATTATATTATGTTGTTATATTTTGATATGATATCATTGCGTATTATATTCCATTCTACTATAATCACTTTCTTTACTAGACTCTTAGCTTCTTTGAGAAAAGTTCTGTTTTCTATTCAATTTTGTGTCCTTCATATTTGGAAAAGTGGGAAGACGTAGTAAAATCTCAAGAAAAGATATAAATAAATGTAAAAGGAGTGATTAAGAGACTGGAAGCACAAGGAGCAAAGTGTACCCTCTGGGTCTGTTCTCATGAATGCTAAGAATTCAGAGTGCAGGGAAGGATACTTAGCAGAATATTAAAATAGAGGCTGTAGTGGGGCTGCAGGGCTGCAGCAGATCTGTGCAGAAGTGGGCAGTGGCTGTGCTCCACTATGGTGAGCTACCAGAACAGAGAGACAAGGCTGTCTGGTTGGTGTGGGCCAACTTCCCAGTGAGAGGAAACAGCCCCTTCTCCTCTCCAGAGATGCTGTAGCCTTCGGGTATGTCTCCTCTCTGAACATCTTTTTTGGCTGTTGAGTAATAAATCAGTCTCAGACCTTGCCCTTGGTCCTGTCGGTACCAGTACATGGCATTGTATTTCAAATGCTGTTTATACTACAGAGTCACATCCCGTCCAGCCCCAGTGAGCAGGAATGCTGGCATCTGGTAGATTTCAGCAACTATGGGTCCTGTGGGGTAAGGATGCAAAGGCTGAGTGTAAGGCCCAGTAGGGAGCCCCATGCTGTTGTAAGTGGAAGGTGCTGGAGTGTGGGTCTGCACACCCAGGACAGGAATTTACCACCTGAGTTTTGGATTCACCAGCTCCCAGGAGACAAAGGGCAACGTAGCAAAGGGCCTAGCTGCCCATGGTAGGGACAGGATCTTTGTGAAGCCCCAGACACAGACTCTGAGAGAGGCCAAGGAAAGGGGCTGGGACCTAGGGCTCCCCCTGGCTCAATATGCAGATTTTCTCATTGCTATAAGGTGACTGACTGTCACAGCTGATTTTATAGATGCATAGACTAAGGCTCAGAGATATCAAGTCCCTCACATCTTCTCTTCTACCTGCAGAGAGCTCTTTATATCCGTTCTAAGTGGACAAGAGCCCACATGGTGAGAAGACCAGGTCTCCCACTTCCCGGTCAGAGTCTCAGCCCGAATGCCATGTGCCTGTGCACCAGCTGAGATGAGAACTAGGAAAAGAAATACCTACAATTTTCAGAGTCTATGGCCTGTCTACCAACCTCTCTGTTCCCCACCGATACTGTAAAGTGGGGAAACATAAACACAAGAAGAGAATCAGATATTTTGTTGTTATAAAACAGAGCTAATCCTCTCTGTCCTCTGTGTTTATTGCTACAGTGGTAACTGACACAGTAGAGATGGAGTAGAGGCTTCTCCAGTAATTTCAGCAATAGTAAAGGGCCCTAAACCCATTGTCCCCTGGTGGTGGTGGACTAGAGCACAGATTTGGGAGATGGCCTGGACTTGAGTCCTGGCTCAGCCATTTGGCAGCTATGTAACTTTGGCAAGAGTCTTAACCTCCCTTTGATTTGATTTTCTCATCTGTAAAATGGGCATAATGAGTATCTACTTCAAAAGTTGTTGTGAACACATATACATAGAGAATTTAAGATAGTCTTTAACACAAAATAAGTACCATATTCTTGTTTGCTATTATTATTTTCTGGACTTGATATCCTAATCCACAGAATTTAGGAAGTTCATGTTATGTTAAGGAAAATCAGACATTTACTGACATAGGATTGTGTCAGCTAACTAAAACATCGTTTCCCAGCACTGAGTTGAAATTTATATAATGACTGTAAATTTATTGCATTACATAGTTTCTTCACAAGAATCTTAGATAAATGAAAATGTGATCATAAATTAATTATTTCTTAATGAATGCTGTTATTTTGGCAGATAAATGTTTGCCTTATTTTTGTGTCTGAGGTCATCTGTAATAAAAGACACTTTCATGATGACACTTTTGGTTGGATTCTGGGGACGTAGAAACTGTTGCTGCCCCCTCCTGGAAGAAAGGCGTGTGTGTGTGTGTGTGTCTGTGTGTATGTGTGTGTGTGAGAGAGAGAGAGAGAGAGAAAGAGACAGACAGCTACATAGAGTGAGAGAGAGGGAGCGGGAGAGGGAGATGGGGGAAGGAAATGATGTAATGATTCAGAATGAGAATCATTAGAAAGTACAGCAGTGTGGGTAGAACTCTGAGAAGAATCCTGCTGACAGGTTGCTTCCAGTGATTGGGTTTAGGCTTCAGGTTTTCAACCACATCTGCAAAGTTGAGCATCTCATTCCTCATGTGGGGCTCTTGCCCTTGTTGGTACCATGGGCCCATTTGGCAATCTGGTAAATCCTAAGGACTCCTTCTCAGAATAATGCTTTAAACCCACAAAATAGAATACATAGTATTCCATTGGAAACCAATTATTTTGAAATGTAGTTATTAAAACATTTTTTTAAAATTTATGATATATTAATATATGTACATATTTAAAATTCATTAAATAAAATATATCCTGGCAAGTCTGAAAACTGCCGTGATTTCAAAGTAGTGATGAAGGTGAGTGATATTTGCTCTATGTAGTGTGATGTGAAAATACCTGTGACTTTCATATCAACTGTAATATATGCAAATATTTACAATTTCTATTATTGACTTTGTCACAGGTACAGCTAACAATGCTGTGATTTATTCAATATATCTATCATGAACTAAATGCTATATGTTAGAGATTAATGAAAATAAAGATACATTTTTCCCATTCAAATTCATAGATTCCCTGAATTCTCTCTCTGCACCCCTTGGAGGTACATGGGTCCCGGGTTAAAATTTTCTGCTTTAGAAGAGAATGTGCTTCATGCTGGAATCCACGGACAGGAAGCATTAGGAAGTTCACACATCCTCAGAAACAGTTTACCACCATGTGCAATCTCAGATTTGTCAAAAGTGTCCTGATTAAAGAAAAAAATGGAAAACAAATTTAAACCACTTCTTTAGATTGATTTACAGACCCAAATGATGACGATGACAGGTACTTACTATGACGTTTCTGGTCCTGGGAACAGGACACTATTTCTGTAATCTGTCTTTTTCTGTATACCATCCTCAGTATCAGCTACCTTCATCATCATCGTCATCATCATCATCAACACCCTCGTCATCCTCATTATCATGATGTATGCGTGATTCTTGGGGGGTATTATTGGAATAGAAAATGGCAGGGACACAGTACGCTAGAGACATACTTTCTTGTATGAAGGAATGAGGCTTTATGCTAAGGAACCCTGTAATCAGAAATAATATCCCCAAAATGGAAACAAAGAGATCTACACAGATTATACTTTAAAATAATCCCTTACAAGAGTGTGTGTTACTAATTCTGAGAAACTTCAGATCTCAATGAATGGTAATATATACACAATTCTTATTGACAGAATTTTAGACAAATCTAGAGGTGTTGTAGTGGTTATGTTCGTGCACTTGCTGCGGCGGCCTGGGGTTCCCAGGTTGGGATCCTTTGGCGTGGACCTACACCATTTGTCAAGCCAGCTGTGGTGGCGTACCACATACAAAATAGAAGATTGGCACAGATGTCAGCTCAGGGCCAATCCTCCTCACCAAAAAATAAATAAATAAAAAGAAAGATTGAACTAAGGTGAAATCTTGGCACAAAATATTTTAATAAATAAATAACTTACGAGGATTAAAAGGTACATTCATAATATGTTTCTTAAAATAAATTCAGGAAACACTTAGGAAAAATATAGCAAAATAGGTTCAAGACCTGAACAATAAAAAACAACAAAGCAATGCTGAAATTAACAAAGAACTCAATAAAGGAGCATGGGCGGACTTTTTGGGGAGACGGAAGTCTTCTGTTTCTTGATTGTCATACTGGTTACATGGATGTAAAAATGTGTCAAAATGTGGTGAAACATATACTTAAAATGGGTGCATTTTATTGTGTGTGTGTTATGCCTCAATAAAGTTGCTTTTCAAAGTTGCGTGATGGTAGTATTCTGGAGGGAGGGGGTTGCTGAGTTTCCCACTGAGTTCCCACGGCAGAGACAGTGTGAGAAGCAGTCCTGAAGCCCTTGAGGAGTTTCTGTGTCTGGTTCAATGATCTGTGCTCTACCGGATGATCAGGGTTCACGTGAAAGACAGCCCACCTGCCCATTATCCTTCTTCCGGAAGGCACAGGTGTGCCAGGTGGAAAGCACAGAATTACATATTCTTATAAATTGTTAGCAATCCATCAAAATCATGAAAAAAGAAAAGGTATCCTGGATCTTCCCTTTCCCAGATATCCTGCAAACTGGAGAATCTGAGCCCCCTTTACACCTTTCTTCCCCTTCCTTGTGTTTCTTTCTTAACATTCCTTTCTGCTCACCTAGTGTTGCCAGGTACACATTTTTCCTTCTGGTTTATGCTCTTTCAAGTTGGGTTTCTGTTAGTTCCTATGCACCTAACACACCACTTATTTCCTGAGACGGGTGAGGGATGAGTTCGTGTTCTAAGAAAAGCTCACATTCAGCACTGTGGATTGGCTGCTGGCGCAGAAATACAGTGCTGAGTCCTCTAGCTCAGTGGAGTTGATTTGCAGGCTGCAGGCTGAGTTTTGGGGGCATTGAGCTAAGAATCGCTGATCGAGTACTTTTGATTTATCAATAATATTTTCATCCTCTAAGTAAACCAAAAACTCAAACTCTCCTTCCAGCTTCTGACGATACCAATAAATGTAACTATGTCCTTTTATGGGGACACAATCCATCTTTGCTTTCTGTTCTTTTCCTTTGATCAGATGTCCAGGACTCTGTGTGACCTTAGTGTCCATGGAGCCTGTGGAGGAAAGAGACAGAAAGTGGAGAAAAATCCCAGGAGGGAGCTTGGTATTGCAGCCACAGGAGAAAGTCCTGACACTTTCAGAAGTGCTCACAACTGGAACTTACCTGCTCCCCAGAGAAAAAGGGCCATACAGCAGAGAAGTCTGAGGCACATGGCTGACGCATGACCTTTTCTCTAAGGCTTCCTCATCCCCCATCAGCAACCTCCTCATGATGTGGTCACTTCCCATGGTCTTCACAGTTGCTGTGTACCTGGGACTAAAACATTACACAGGATGTGGGAGGGCAGGTAGAGCTGGTAAAAACAACTAATGTGAATTGCCAACTGCTTTTATTTCCTTTTCCCTGACTCTGCTCTTTCATTATTATTTCTTATAAAATCACTTACATATCATTTATTTATTTGCTTTTTAAACCTGTTAATTTGCCTCCACCCCTCCTCCCTTCCATCTCAGGCAATACATCATACAGCTTGGTGTATATCAATCAGAGGTTTCACCACACGTATAAAATCTCACAGCAGCAACTTTAGACCAAAAAATTAAATGTTGAACTAGAGCAAAAAATATTTATGACAAATATGCGATGCATCCAGGGAAACAATAAAATGAATATTCTTGTCTGAACCAATCAGCTTAGGAGAGAGATTATTGCTGAAAATTTTTAAGCCCCTGTTATTCTTCCAGATTTCATTGTTCTTTCTCCACTTCGTCCAGGTAACTGTAACCCTGAAGTTTATATTTTTATTCACTTGCTTTTCATTATAGTTTTTAGAACTTATATAAGAATCTGTAAATTATATATTATTTAATGTCGTATGTCTCTGAAATTTATCTAAGGGGGATCATTCTGTTCGTATTTTTTTCTGTGACGTGTTCATTTTCTATTCAACATTGTTTGCAATATTAATTCATGTTGATGCATAGAATTTTAAATAATTCATTTTCACTAATATGTGGGTTTCCATTCTGTTCATTTGCTAGAATTTATTACCCATTCTTGAATTAATCCACAGTTTTTTTTTTGCTAAGTTTTTGTGCGACCGCAAACAGGACTGCATTCTTGTACATGTCTTTGCATCTCTACATGCAAGATATTCTCTATACCTGGCAATGTAAAGATTGAGACTTAGGGTCACCATGTCTACTTTACATAATAGACAAAATGCTTTCCAAATGAATTAAGCCAAATAAATAGTCTCATCAACAGTTCATGACTGTTTTCAAACAGTCCGCATCTAGGACTCAATTGGTATTTAATATCTGTTTAATTTTGCCCATCTATTGGGTTAAAATTTTATTTCACTGCAATTTTAGTTTGCATTTTTATGATTGCCAAGGAGCTTGAACATATTTCTAATATTTATAGGCCACTCGTGTTTTCTATAAACCCATCTGCCCATATTTCTTTTTGGATGATTAGCTATTATTCATTTGTAACAGTGCTTTATATATTCCACAGACCAAAGCTTTGTCAGGTACATGTGTTGCTAATATCTTTCCAATTTGTGGCTTGGGTTTTCACTCTCTTTGTAATGTTTTTTGTTGAATTTCCTAATTTAGTCGTTTATCATCCTTTTGTGGGAGGGTATGCATTTTTTAATTCTTTATAAGAAATGCTCCCCCAGCCCAAGTTATAAAGATATACTCTCATATTATTTATCCAGACAATTAACACTTTGAATATTGCATTTAAGCATTGAATCCATTTAGAATTTATTTTTGCTTATGCTGTGAGGAAGGGTTTAAATGACTCTTTCTTTGTATGGATAACCACCTTTCCCAGAATAGCTTATTTGATATTACGCCATTCTCCTACATACCTATGATGATGTCTCTATCATATATTAAGTGCCTGCATAAGCATGGGCCACCTATTAATCTATTATTTTCTATTTGTATGCTTTTTTCATTATCCTAAATTATAAAATAATTTGATGATTCGTAGGGCAAGTCACCTCACTTTAAACTTCGATATTATCTGGTCTATTTTTGTCCCTCTTTTTCACTTAAGTTTCAGATTATTTTAGTCAAATTTCAAGAAACAAATATCTTTTGTGATTTTGTTTAGTGCTGCGTTGAATTTATAGATGATATTTGCAGAAATTAGAATACTCTTACCATTGAGTTTACTTATTCATGATCATGGTGTATATTCCTTATTTCAGATTTTTATAACGTCTTTCTCTAGAATTTTAAAATTTTCTATGTTAAAGCCTTGCTTATCTTCTAATAGGTTTGTTTTTAGGTGTTTTATATTTTATGTTACTATTTGTAAATCATCTCTCTCTAAAAATATATCTTTTAACTGTTGCTAGTGTGTAGAAACAAAACTGACTTCTTATAATTATGTTGAATTCTGTAAACTCATTAAATTTTGTTATTAATGATGCAAAGCTTCCTTAGATTCCTTTGGGACTTTCTCTAAACTTGTCATCTGTCAGTAATCACCTTTTCCCCTTCCTTTCTCATTCTCGCCCTTTTTTTCTTGTTCCACTGACCGGAAATTCAGCACAATGTTGAATAGAAATGGTGGTGATGTCTATTTGCTTATTTATCAATTCTGTATGATCCCACAACCACAGGTACTGGATATGTGGTAAATTCTATGGGGGTCACCAAGTGTAGATTAGATCCAGCTATATCAAGGACCTATTGGCATCCCAGGATATCTGCAATTCATTCTGCCAACCAGTACCTAATGTAGCTCACCTGAGGGACCTGAAGGATCTAACAACTTCTCAGATGAAGGAGGAACTGAGCCTGCTGGTTTATGCTCCGAGGTATTTTGCAGAAAGACCCACATCACCCCCTAGTGGCCAAAGGGGCAAATTCGTCAGATGCCCTCTGATCTCTCACTGACTTCACCTTCCAGGTGAATGGGGAGGTGAGTGGGGAGTTGCCAGCTCCAAGCTGTGAAGCAGCATCTAGGCACCTCAAGTATCAGAGAGGAATTAGGAATAAGCAGTCCTTGGTGTGGTAACCTGCGCCTACTACGTAGAATCATCAGGAGTAATTAGTTGCATAATCACTCAGTCATTAATCTAATATTGATGGACGGCTTATCAGTGTAATTTGCCTTCTCAATCTTTTCCAGCCACCGTTCAAGGTGAGCGTTCTCCCTAAATCCCTGTCCTAAGTCCTCTGCCCTTTTCTTTGTATGTTCTATCCTCAAGGGATCATAAGCACTTTCATTTTCCAATTATGCTCAATGTCCCAAATTTTTACCTTTCATCCAGATCCATTTTCTGAGTCCATGACTTGTACAGACCACTGCCTTCTGCATACTTCCAGTCAGATTTCTGCCTCAAGGGTGCCCCTGATCTCAGATAAATCATGATCTTCCCACTTGGTCCTCCTCATCCATCGGGCTGTGGTAATCATCTTCAATCCTCCCTATCTATTGCCTCTCATGTCTAATCAATTACCAAGTCCTTTGATTTTACTTCCTAAACATCTTTTAAATCTCTCATTTCCCTGTATTTCTATCACCACCATCATCATCCTAGCTATGCTGTTGCCTGCCTGCATGACTGCATTGGCTCTTTTGTCTGCATCAGCTCTGTACAGACTGCCCATGATTTTTTCACACTGTAGCCAGGGCAATTAAAAAAACACGCATGCCCGCACACACACATACACACACACACAACAATAACAAACACTAAACTGATTAGTGTTTGTTAAGTCAAATGCTTTAACTCAATATCAGGGCAAAGAGTATATGAGAGTGCTCTGTACTTTCCACTTAATTTTGCTGTGAACCTAAAACTGCTTTAAAAAAGTAAAGTCTATTATAAAAACAAACTCAATGACTCCTATTAAATTTTATCTTAAATTCCAAATCATATACTTTGATTATAAGGTCAGGAATGGTCTGATGTCTGATGTCTGCCTCCCTCTCTCCAGCCTCACCTTGTTCTCGCCCCCTTCCTCACTCTTTGCTCTGCCGCATCACTACATCTTTCCATTCATTAAGCTCACCAATTTCTTTCCTGCCTGAAAAGTTTTTCACTGGATCCTCCGTATTTCTTCAATGCCTATCAGTTCATTATCCCCCATCCCACTTAATTACCTCCAGCTTATCTTTAGGATGTCATCTTAAACACGACTTCCTCTAAGAAACCTGCTCTGTGACTCTATTAGGTCTCCCTGTGTCATAAGCAGTGGCAGCTGGGTTCAGTTTCACACAACCCCTTGGCTGTGCCTGACTGATACAAGGGCAGAGACACTGTATCCCAACAAAGATTCTTTCCCATGAGTTTAACAGACATAGAGACAGAAGGTAGTGGTTGCTGAGGCTCCTTATGCTTGCCTTTAGAAAGAAGATCTGAGCTCCTGTGGCTTAGGAATGTGAGACTAGGATTTTTATTCTCACTCAGCTGCAGTTGATGGTCTCTTCTCTCATCCCTCTGAGCACATCCAGCATCTGTGTAACCCATTCCCATTAATACAGAAGTTAGTGTTTTAAGGCGCCCTTTTTCACGTGTATCAGGTTTACTTTCCTTTTATTTATTTTTAGGCTTATTGAGGTAGAATTAATGTACACAAAGCCGCACATATTTAATGTATAGAATTTGATGAATTTGGAGATGTGCATACACCCCGACACCATCAACTCAAAGTAATAGACATATCCATCACCTCTAAGAGTTTCCTTGTGTCCCTTCATTTTGTTTTGTTTTTTGTGGTAAGACCACCTAACATGAGATCTACCCTCTTAACACACTTAAGTATACAGCACACTATTGTTATCCAAAGATATTATTTCATACAGCCATGTCTTAGAGCAGATCTCTAGAATGTATTTATCTTGCACAAGTGAAACTTGATATAAATTGAACAACTCCCTGTTTCCCCTTCTCTATAGGCCCTGGCACCCCACTATTCAACTTTTTGCTTCCGAATCTGACTACTTTAGATACTTCTTATAAGTGGAATCATGCAGTATTTGTCTTTCTTGACTGGTTTATTTGACTTAGTATGTCCTCCAGATTCATGCATGTTGTCACAAAGAGCAAGATTTCCTTCATTAAGGATGAATAATCTATTATATGTATATACCACATTTTCTTTATCCACTTATGCATTGATGGAGTTGTTTCCATATTTTGGCTATTGTGAACAATGCTGCAGTGAACACGGGAGTGCAGATATGTCTTCAAGATCATGATTTTGATTATTTTAGATGTGTACCCAGAAGTGGGATTGCTGGATCATATGGTAGGTCTTTTTTTGATTGTTTGAAGAAACTCCATACTATTTTCCATAGCTGCTGCACCATTTTACATTCCCACCAACAGTGTATGAGGGCTTCAATTTCTCCACATACTTGTCAATATTTGTTATCTTTTGATTTTTTTCATAATAGCTGTCCTAACTGGTGTGAGGTGATAGCTCATCTTGGTTTTGATTTGCTTTTCCCTGGTGACAAGTGATGTGGAGCACCTTTTCATGAACCTGTTGTCTATTTGCATGTCTTCTTTGGAGAAACGTCTATTCACGCCCTTTGCCAATTTTTAAATCAGATTATGTGTTTTTTTGCTATTGAGTCATAGAAATTTATTATATTTTTTTGGATATTAACACTTTATCAGAAAAATGGTTTGCAAATATTTTCTCCAATCCCATACAAATCTATAGTAATTAAAATAGTGTGGTACTGGCATAAAGACAGACATATATACCAAGGGAAAAAAAGAGAGAGCCTAGAAATAAACTCATGCGTATATAGTCAACCGATCTGTGACAAGGTTGCCCCAATGGGGAAAGGACAGTCTCTTCAATAAACAGTATTGGGAAAACTAGATATTCATATGCAAAAGAATGATATTGGACCCCTGTCTTATACCACACACAGAAATCAACCCAAAATAGATTAAAAATTTAAATATAAGACCTGAAACTCTGAAACTCCTAGAAAAGAACATAAGGAAATAGCTTTTTGACTTTAGTCCTCACAATGATTTTTGGATATCATTCCAAATATACCGGCAATGAAAGCAAAAATAGACATGTGGGACTACATCAAACTAAAACGTTTGCTTTCCCTGTAAATAGTGAACTGGAAGTTTTAGTCCAACAAGAAACTTAAAACCATCTAAGGAATTTTATACTGGATTTCAATTTCTACCCAAATATAATAAAATAACATTCACTTACTGTCTCCCCAGGTTTCTTCCCTCTGCATGTGAGAGCGAATCTTTTAAAATCTGAGCCATCTTTATCCCCATCCCTTTGGTGACAGTGGACCCAGAGGCTGTTACTCACAACCAAGTAACTGCTTCAAAGGGGGATGCTATTTTATCTTATTCATGAATGTTCTGAAATAGAAAAACAATGACAAAAATAATGTCTAATCATCATTTCGTTAATCCTTTGACGTGGGTTTATTTTATACGACTTTATTTTTTCATAAGGACAAATAGTTTCCTCAAAAATGATTTAGACTAAGATTTTTGAAAGGATCTTTTCAAGCATTTTTGCCCTCTGTTTTGTTATAAGGGGAAAGTAATGTTTCTAGTAAAAGGACACCCAGATATTGATGTAAAATATTTAGGAATAATATTTAATGGCTTTTTTGATACCTTTTCCCACAAGGATGATAACTGTTAAATATATGATGTCAGGGGCTTCAAATTCTCAAGGAAGTATTCGATCAACAGTCACCTGCAGTAAATCAGACATGGTTCATTTTTGCCAGCAAAAACAAAAGAATCTTAACTGATTTTTTAGAATAGTACCAGAAAGTAGATTGCAGATAAAAGACTGAAATATTTATAGAGTATTTGAAATTTACTGTTTGTCAGTCAGAAGTAGTCAGACTGCTTTCCATATTCCAGAATGGACACACAGCCACCGTGCTATGAAGTGGTGAAGCAGCTAATCAAAAGATCACCTTCAGACACCTGAGATATGGTATGCACTATAGCAATTGGGTGGAGACTCCCGTAAACCAGTTCTGGAAATTACTTTTGTGGGATGCTGAATTACAACGCCAGTTGACTCACAACTTTGCAAATCTCTTACGTGTAAGATAGGGTACTGAGTAAGAAATGTGCACTCAGAATGGGAATATCTAATGATACGGAAGACTTTAAGGACCTTGACTGCTTCAAAGCCTTTGAAATTCTCCCCATGACATCTCCATTACTAGAGAACACTGTGCCTCTGTTGAGTGTGTGTGTGTGTGTGTGTGTGTATGTGTGTGTTGAGGAGGGTGAGGTAAGAGTCTATCACTTACTCCATCCATCACTGGCTCTGAAAGTTTGGTGTGGTTTCAAACATAACACAGCCCAGAGACTAGAATGTAGACTCAGAGCATGAAAAGAAAGTATTACACTTAAAAAGAATTGCTCATTTATATCATGAAAAATTTAGGAGAAATGTTGTAGGATTTGATTTTTATTGTCCTGGTCCAAGGAGGACAGGACACAAATTTGGATTAGATTATGTTCAGTGCTATTGCCATATTCTCCTAAATTAAGACATGTGGGCCACAACTGTGTCTCTAACATCAGCTGGATTGGAAAAGGTAAGTGTGGACACAGCATCCATCCATGCGAATGACACTGCAGTACTGTTAAGCCTAATGTAGAGGAGGGAAATCAATGACTGCTTGAGATAGGGATGTGATCACTTTCTCACCATGTTTCATGCCAGAGCCTAAAATGCTCTTCTCTTTTCCTTGGCAGGTGAAAGAAGCAGTGGGATATTTAAAAAGTATTTTCCTAGCTCTCTTCTCCAGGCTGAAAATGCTGACAGAGTAGGCGGCTACAGTTAAAATGGGTCCCTGGTTTCAGTGGCAATGAACCCAGTCTGAGATGACTGACCCCAGGTGTGGTATTTAATCACCAATAAAACAATGGTTGTGGTCATCATGTCAATACAATGAGGCAGCATGTCCATTGCTGAATTGACTCCCATCTTATTCTGTTGTAGTCAGGGGCAAGGTCTTGTTTCCACCCCTTCATTTTCACATTTGGTGTCTAAGCCCTCCCTCCTTCATACTCACTACACTACACTCTTCATTCTCCTCTTTCACAGACTAATCTCTTCTGTTATTTGTTTTATTTTTTGTCTTTATTGATCTCATATGCATAGGATTTGATTCATCTTCATCTTCGGTTTATGACACACAGGCATTGTTTGTTGATGGTTATTTATTTATTTAAATATATGGTAGGTGCTTGTAAAACATCTCTCCCTGTTGTCCAGCAATACTCAAGATAGACCTTGACAATATTTATATTTACCAGTGTAGTTCTCTCCCGCCCTGTCTCCTACAACTCCTCACCCAAGTCCCATATTAAACTTCATCCTGAACTTGAATCATCATCATTCCTTGTCAGCGTGTGTTGGTAAACATTTGACAACCAGTTCTCTGGAGGAAAATAAAATGAGCCCTGATTTGCAGTGTCTTCTGTTAACTGTGGTGTAAATATTCCCATTACGGCTGGTTTCAAGCTACCAACCTGAAGTCTTTAAAACTGAGTTCAGAAAGATGTGTACATCGGCTCTCACAGGCTGGTAAAAGGCAGTTCCAGCAACAACTGTTTCTTTATTTCTTTTAATATAATTTTATCTAATGTATTTCTGTAGTCATGAAAATTACGTTCCTGAGTTATTTTTTTAGCTTTATAAAAAGTGTTATCATGGTTTACATAATCTTATCAGGGTTTTTGCATTTGATATTATATTGCTAAGATTCACGTATCCTATTGCTCATCACTGGAGTTCATTCATTTTGCCTGATGTATATATAGTTTTCCATTGTATGAATATACCACCATTTATTCATTCACTCTCTTGTCAACGCATATGTGGCTTGGTTCCATGTCTTGCTACTGTGAATAGTGCTGCTTAGAACACTTTTGTGTTCATGTCTTCTGATGTGCATATGCAAGAGCTTCTCTTGATGTAAACCTAGGAGTCGTATTGCTGGGTCATGGAACACAGGAATGATCCACTATGTGAGACAAATTGTGTATCACTTAAGCTCCCACCTGCAATCCTGTGGCTTCATACCTCTCGAACAGTTTATATTTCCAAGCTCTCTGTATTGCTAATCAAATGGATATAAACTTACATATCATTGTGCCTTGCTTCACATTTTCCTGATCACCCATGAATTTAATTACTCCTCACCTGTTTATTTGTCATAGATGTTTCTTCTGTTAAATGTTTGTTAATATCTTTTGCTTATTTTTTATTCATCATAGAAGATTTGTGTTCAATGTGATTTTTTGTTTTTTCCTAGGAAAGTATTTTTGTGAAGAGGTTACACTCATTGCTCCTCTTATATTCCAGCTTCTGACAGATCTTTCTAGTTCTTTTGACAAACCATGTTGTCTAAAGTCTTTCCTAAATGCACCTTCTGCCTTCTCATCCCTCTGACAACTTTCTCCAGAGCCAACTCAACCAACACATTCACTATGAAGGTTTTTGGTAAGCTCTGTACCTAGGTATAGGGGTTACATATCTTCCTTTCTTACCAGTCTTATCCTGTCCATTCATTAATCAAAACACTGTATAAAGCACATCATTTAATTCTTTCAGAGTGAACATCCCTGCTTGGCAGCCTTACGATTCTCTTTATCTTGAGTGTCTAGAAGGGTAACAAGGCAGTGCCAAATAGACTTGGAGATCCAAATGCCAAAGTTTATTGATGGAAAATACACAGTGTTTTATAGAAGTGTTTTGAGATCTGCCTGGAGGATTATGCGTAGATTTATGTAAGAACATATGATTAACATGTGGCAGAGTCAGGAAAAAAATCCATGTTTAAAATTTTCAGCTCTGGGAACTTTCCACGTCAATTGGCCACTTTATAGGCACAAATGCACTCCATTTTTCTGGTTCTCAAACACTACACCTTCTCCACACTCAACACTCAGATATTCTTTCTCTCTCTTTCTCTCCACACACACACACACACACACACTCGCGGATATATCAATCAGAGAAGCTGTGGATTTCCTCTCTCTATATCTCTTTCCGCTGGGCTCCACGGGTGTGGGGGGTTAGGGAAGAGGGAGCTGTTGCAAAGGTTCCTGTTTGGGTCTCTGATCTCTGCCCAGTGTTGTAACACCACAGAAGTAGAGGCTGCTGTCTGCAGGATGCGCACTTGTCACCGTAAGAGATGAAAATGTTCAGTTGGGATGGATGATGGGAAATTTGGCCTTGGTAAAACCTTGTTCGTATGTGGTGCTGGAACCCTGATTAGAAGTTGCAATCAGTGTGAGGTGCTGTTTCGAGAACCAGCGATACCAAAACAGTTTGGGCCTCAAAGTCCATTGCAAGTCACTCGATCTCCTCGGAGGTTCCATTTTTACAGAGATGTTGAGAAATGAGAGCACTAAGCCCAGAGCCTGCTGAAACAGAGGTCCAAGAGATGAAAGAGGCCAGCAGGAGCAGTCAGACCTGACCACAGACAGAAACCTCACAGTCTCGCTCCCTCACCTTTCTCCCAGCTCCAAGAGAATCCTGTTCGTTTTCTGAAATCTTCTTGTTAGAATCCCTAGGATCATAATCCCCCATGTCCCCTGACTGGTGACTTCTCACTTCATTAAGCCCTAGGGGTGTAATAAGGTGAGAAGTCACCTTATTCTCACCTTAGGTCATGGATGTGCCCTCCTATTTTGATCAGCATAAAAAATCCACAATCTTTGGCTACCACCTCACCCATGCCAACACACACACACACACTCCCCCAAGCTACTGATATAATAAGGCTCCTACTGTGCAGCAGAAGCATCAACATCTTCAGGGATTGGCGTCACATTACCCCTCTCTCAAGAGAGGTTTGACCATGCTCTTTATTCTTCCTTTCTCCACCCCTAGAAGGATGGATGATTGCTTACATAATCCTGAGGATGCCCTCATCTGCCCCCTGGTAGTGATCTTTGCCAATGATGCAAGATCTATTATTCTTTCTACTGAAGAACCATACGTACACCGCTGGAAGGGGCCTCAAAAATGTTCTAATGCAATTCCTAATTTTATAGAAGATACACTGAGACCTAGATCATTGAAATCATTAAAACAAGATTTTTAGCCTTATATAAGGAAAGGGGTATGTGTTTGTGTGGTAAATGGCCATAAGTTCCTTACTTCTGTGCCACATCCTCAAAGTAACCAAGTGTAGTGTAAGCCCTGACAGTTGGTTTTTCTTTTCTGTCATGCAAGTACCAGACTTAAGCTTTGATTGCTGAGGTGTCCACTTCATAGATGGCTATCTCCAATAAACACAGTGCCAACCACGTAACTAGATAAAGAGACAGGACATCTCCCTGATTTTCCCTGCCCCAGGCTCCTTTCTTTTAAAGACATTGGTTCTTTTCCATAACTGACCACCTGTGCCACTTTTTTTTTCTCTTCCAGTGCCTTAAATTCCTGTTTTTATGTTTTAAATTCACCAATATGGAGTGAGCCCATCAAATCATGGACTCTCACCCTCAACATCAATAAAAGCATAAACCAGGCCTGTGCTTTCTCTCTCTCTCTACCTGTGACCTTGCCGTATGGTCCCAGATGTGCCATATAATTTCTAGGACCTGTAAGTAATAAATCTTTTTTTTTTCCAGTGTTTCCCAATGGTTATTGCTAAGGGCATCTTGTGATCATGAGAACCTCAAGGGCTGGTCCAGCCACAACGTTGGTTATGGAAAGGCTGAGACCAGCATACAACACCAAGACAACTCATGGTTGTTAATCACTAGATGCGTGAGTATGAGAAATCCTAGGCTAGAAGTTCAATGTTTCTTCATATTGATGATATGGACACTTCCTCACCTTAAATGAACTATTTATTTCACAACTATCTCATGCCAGTTCCCCTCATATTGATGGACATAATACTAAACATAGGTATTTATTAGAGTCTATATGTCTTTGTGTAAAGCACTGTGGAGGCTGTGCAGCTAATTTATTTACACCTATTTCACCATGACACAGGTCATAAGCTAAGTATTGGCCAATGGAAATAGGCTTTAGGAGATTTAGAGATTTACTTCAGCTTTGAACATGCTGGATGTTTGTTCTAAATGGGTCATGCTTAGAAATGTGCAGCAATTTCAAAGTGGCTGAAGATTTTTATCCAAAGCATTATACTTTAATTTTTATAGCAACCTCACAGTTGTGCTTTTATTTAATATTTCAGTCTTTTTATCTGGAGTCTTTAACTAAGAGAAGTGGGATTAGGATTTGATCCATCAAATTATGTTTGTACTATAGTGACATAGATTTAGCAAAAATTTAGTCATAGCAAAGATAATTACTGCATACTAAATATTACTGTGTACATAAAAGTGATATATGGATTAAAGGGCATCCGCCATACTCCTGTGACTACATTTGTTTAATGGTTGGTACACACCACATTAGACCAGGAACACCTTCCCCCATAACTGTATTTTTCCTGCAAAAAGAAGGTGAAAGTACCTTGCAATACATTATTTCTGGTATGACATTATGACATATATGAGATAAAGTGGCTGGAAGCCCCTGGATCAGAAGACAATCTTTCTGGTATATTTGAGGACCACCAGCCATCAGGTATATACCTGTGGTTTATATTACTGTATCAACTTAACTAAGAAGGAAATACCTTTCCCAGAAACTCCTCCCTGGTATACTTCTTCATTAGAGTTGATCTAACGAAAAATATTTTCAAATGAAGCAGCTGTCGCTATGCTCTGAAGTCATCATCGGTCCAAGGCATTGAAGAACAGGATTAGAAATACCAATTTATCACATTATGGTGTCTACTCTTCAAGGATGGCACCCAGATGAACCATACCTCCCAGGATTCACATTCCTGGAAGTCCCTTCCTCTTGACTGGGTGGGCCTGTATGTGGTGGAAATGACTGTATGATTTTCCAAGATAGGTCATGAGTAGACTTGTAGATCCCACCTCGGTCTCCTGAATGCTCACTCTTGGGGAAGCCAGCCACTATGTAATAATTTTAACTACCCTGAGGCCAACATGCCATGAGGAAACTCACCTAACACATTGAGGGCCTGTGTGGAGAGAGTTAGACATGCCAGGCTGATCCACACTCTTATTGCCATCCCAGGTGAGGGATCAGATATGGGCGTAAATAAGGCTTCTTGGATGTCCAGCTCAGGTGAGCCTTCAGCTATCTCCAGCCTCAATGACTATGATTGTGACAACATGGGAGACCCCAAGTGGGAACTGCCAAGCCAAGCTTACTGAATCCACAGAACATAAGAGAATACATTTTTAAGTCACCACATTTTTGGGTAGTGGTTGTTGTTCTAAGATTTTTAAGTGAGACATAAAATACATATAATAGACTGCACAAATCTCAAGTGTACAGCTTGGGGAATTTTCACAAATGAATACACTTTTGTAACTACCAACCATATCAAGATATAGGACATTTTCAGAACCCCATAAATCTCCCTCCTGCTTCCCTCCAGGTAAATTAAAAATGCCCCCAAATGTAACCACTGTTTAACCCTCACGTAGTATGTTCTCTTTTGATGGTTTGTTTTGTTCAACATTAAGTTTATGAGATTCATCCATCCGTGATTTTGCAAAAATTAATTGATTTTTTGATATATTTTATTCTATTATATAAATGTAACACGATTTATTTATCTATTTCATTGTTGGTCGACCTTTAAGTGTTTTCCAGTTTGAGGTTCATGAACAAAGTGGATGTGATGGTTTTTTTCTCATATATTCTTTTCTATTTTCTCAAAATTCTGTAATGTTTCTTGATTTTGTATGCAACTGATAAATTGGTTTTCTGACATCTCTAATTTGCTACTGATTGCTTCCAACATATTTTTAAATTCAGAAATGATGTTTATTGCACCCAAGAAATATTATTGACCTTTGATTATATTTTTCTACAAATCGTTCTTCCTAGTTAAAAGATGAAATGGCTTCTCAAAACTTGATAGGGAAACATTTAGTGACATTTTAATGTTCTGAACTTTTTTATTTTCTTTTCATACAATAACTTTCCTACATCTTGGTCATGGGACTAGGAGCTGTTATGAAACTTCACAGCTTTTCAAGGTCACAACCAATCTGAAAAAGTAAACGGTTCAATAGTTTTAAAGTGGAACTTTTTTTTTAATTTTGAACTTTGTTACTTTTTTTTTTTGGAGGAAGATTGGCCCTGTGCTAACATCTGTTGCCAAGCTTCCTTTTTTTTCTTTTTTCTCCTCAAAGTCCAAGTACATAGTTGTGTATCATAGTCGTAGAGTTGTAGCTTTTCTACATGGGATGTTGCTTCAGCATGAGTTAATGCGGGGTGAGTATGTCCGCGCCCAGGATCAGAACTGGCGAACCCCGTGCCACTGAAGCGGAAGGCGTGACCTTAACCATATGCCACGGGGCCGGCCCCTAAAGTGGATGTTTTAAAATCAAGTAAAATCTGCATGCTTTTTTCTATAAATTCCTCAATGGACGGAGGAAATCTGTATCCCTTCTAGTTATGCCCAAGATAACACAGAACAAGACTGTCTATCTCTTCCTGTCGTCCCTTTCATTTCCTTTCTCTCACTGGAAAGAGATCCTCTCCCCATTCCATTGCCTCCGGAATATGGCTTGCACACAGGGAGCAGAGAACTCCAGGGGCTATGTCCCTGACTGCCACAAAAGTCCATGCCTGCATCATCTGGCTCAGGAGATGACTGACCTAGAGGGTCTGTGAACACGGTCTGGAGAGTCCACGTAAAGCATCTTAGATCCATCCCATTCCCAATGGTTTCCTCAGTATTGTCAGAGAGCATTAGTTGCAATGACAGCTTGGAATGCTCATCACAGCACGGTTCACTGTTTTAAATCCTATTCAGAGGTTAGTGTCTCTTTCCTATCTCTGTGTCTCAGTATACCGGTTTCTGGGTGAGTCAGGCTTCCACAGAATATATGGGAAAGAAAGGTGAAAACTAAACAAAGAATCAGGAAGGAATCCAGATAAAATGCATGAAGCCAGGCTTGTATGTAATCCCCACATTTTTCCAGGAGTGTGTTGTCCTGGAAGTCAGAGGGCCACACTGGAGAACCGACTGGGGTTAGTAAAGGCTTCCAAGAATATTTAAAAATATATTCATCCAGCATTTTTAGTTGGATGTAGTGTGAGTATTAGTCTGAATAATATAGACTGTGATACATTTCTAGAAACAGACTTATGTGACCAAATAAAAACTTGTAAACAAATGTAATCCCAAGAATTAATGCTACTTGCCTTCTAATTCCATAGTTAGGTGGCAGACAATAAAGGGAGAGAATACACAGAAAACATAAAGACCATTTGCAAAATAATACTGATAACCTGTCTGCTGATTATTCATGAAAATATTTCTCTCAAGCCTGACTCTCCTTCTATGTGCCAAGTTCATTCACAGGAGCCTACTGGGTATTTGTATGCAGATATCCAAGGAAGGTACACTAGAACTACAAGCTCAATTTTGTTCAATAACTTTGCACCACTCATTCTTCCAAATTTTCTCTTATTGCCATATTGAAGGGATGGGGGTGATTATCCTTGTTCCAGATATTATCTCATTGCTCTCTCCTGACATAGCTCCCAAAGCCTGTGTCACTCAAGTGGTGCTTGTGCATCTGGTGACATCAAACTCATCGTTCAAGTTTCATCTCACATTTTGCCTTCTCTTTTGAAGCTCTTCCTGATGTCAACAGACAGAATTGGCTGTGCTATTCCTTGTACTCCACTAACACTTCTGATTAAAGCACACATGTGTGATATTAGATTACAATATTTGTCTTCTACACATTTCTCTCCAAACTAGACTTTTATGAGTTTTCTGTACTATAGGACCATTTTCTGTTTATTTTTGTTTTCCAGTTATAGTAAAATAGAAAAAAGAGCTGGATTGTGAAATTAACCTCTCTCTTCTCTCTTCTCTCTCCTTCCTCCCCTCCTCCTCTTCCTCCGTCTTCTTCTTCTCCTTCTTCCTCTCTCTCTATCTCTCTGATATAGTTATATATATAGATATAGATGTAGACATATGCATATATGTCATGTTTAAAACAAACTTAGTGGGTCGCTGAAGTGCTGTGCCATTCCACAAAATGTGTTGATGGCAGAAGCTGCTTTGGAGGCCTGGTTGAGGCAGAAGAAAGCAGGCAGATCAGGCCACTGAATCCAGAAAAGCCCTGCCACCTGGTGGGGAAGGAAGGCTTGGGACACATTTATGCATGGAGAGGAGGTGGCTGTGCTTCACTGTGTCTCTGCTACTGGGACAGAGATACAGGGCTGTCTGGTTCTTTTGGGTCGATGTCACAGTGAGAAGAAAGAGTGCCTTCTTCTCCGGAGAGGAGCTGTAGCCTTCAGATATGTCTCCTTTCTGAAGATCATTTACAAGTTGTGAGTAGTAGATGAGTCTCAGCCCTTGTCCTGGGTCCTGTTGGTACCAGTACATGTTGTCGCAATTAAAATTCTGTTCACCCTCCAGGGTCACATCTAGTCCTTCCTCTCTGGACAAGTATTTTGGGCTCTGAGTGATTCCACGGTCCAAGGTGCCTGTGGAAGAGAGAGAAAATCTCCAGAAACACAGCCCAAGAGGGTGCCTAATGCTGCCGTAACAGATACGGAGGTTAGCACGTTTGGGACAGGAATTTGCTCCCTGAACCAAGGACTCACCTGCTCCCAGGAGACAAAGGGCCACCCACCAGAGCACCTGGTTGCCCATAGTGGACAGGGGGTCTCCTTGTAGCTCCAAGCACTTGCTGGAAGACAAATGATGAAAGAATGGTCCCTGATTCTCAGTACACAACACTCTTCATTCTCCTCTTTCACAAACTCTAATCTCTTCAGTTGTTTTACTTTTTCTTTTTTTTGATCTCATACGCATAGGATTTGATTCACCTTGACCCTTGATTCATCACACAAAGGCATTGTTTGTTGATGCATGGTTATTTATTTATTTAAAAATATAGTAGCCACTTGTAAAACATTTCTCTCCCTCGTCCAACAATATTCAAGACAGACTTTGACAATATTTAAATTTACCTCTGTAGTTCTGTCCCATCCCATCTCCTACCACTCCCCATCCAAGCTCCATATTAAACCCTATCCTGAACTTGAGTCATCATCATTCCTTGTCAGTGTGTGTTGGTTAATGTTTGACAATCAGTTCTCTGATGGAAAATAAAACAAGCCCTGATTTGCTGTCTCTACTATTAACCATGGTGTAAATATTCCCACTATGGCTGATTTCAAGCTACCAACATGATGTTATTGAAATTGGAGTTCAGAAAGATATGTACAATTGGCTCTCATGGACTGGTAAAAGCCAGTTCCAGAAACAACTGTACTTACTTTCCTTTTAATATAATTTATCTAATCTATTTGTAGTCATGAAAACTATTTTTTTTATGTACCTGTTAGTAGCATTTTTAAAAAGTGCATCATGCTTTACATAATCTTTATCAGGGTTAGATTTGCATTTGATATTATACTATTAAGATCCACCTATAACATTGCTCATCACTGCAGTTCATTCATTTTGACTGATGTTCGTATAGTTTTCCATCAAATGAATATACTACTGTTTATTCATTCACCCTCTTGTCAATGCATATGTGGCTTGGTTCCATGTCTAGCTACTGTGAATAGTGCTGCTTAGAACACTTTGTATTTATGTCTTATGATGTGCATATGCAAGAGCTTCTCTTGGTGTAAACCTAGGAGTGGAATTGCTGGGTCATGGAGTACAGGAATTATCCACTATATGAGATAATGCCAAGCTGTTTTCAAATTGTATCACTTAAACTCCTACCAGTAATCCTGTGGCAGCATACCCTCTAGAAAAGTTTATATTTCCAGCTTCCTTTTTTTTTTTTTTGCTAATCAAATGGATATAAACTTACATATCATTGTGTCTTGCTGCACAATTTCCTGATCACCAGTCAAGTTAAATATCTCCTCATATGTTTATTAGTCAATGATGTGTCTTCTATTAAATGTATAGTGACTTCTTTTGATTATTTTTTATTGGGTCCTACAAGATTTGTGGTCAATGTAATTTTTAGTTTTTCCTAGGAAGGGATTTTTGTGAAGGGCTTACACTCACTGCTCCACTTATTATCTTCTGGTTTCTGGCAGAACTCTTTAGTTCTGTAGACAAGCTTTCTTGTCTGAAGTCTTTCTTATCTGCTCCCTCTGCCTTCTCTTCCCTTTGACACCTTTCTCAAGATTCAGCTCAACCAACCCTTCTCTATGAAGGTTTTTGGTGTGTTCTGTACCTAGGTATAGAGGGTGCATGCCTTCCTTTTTCCTGGTCTTTCCCTGTTCATTCATCAATCAAAACACCGTATATAGCACATCATTGCATTCTTTCATGAGTGAACATATCTACTTGGCTGCCTCATGATTCTCTGTGTATTGAGTGTCTAGGATGAAGACAAGACACTGTTAGAGAGCCAAATGCCAAAGTTTACTATAGAAAATACACAGTGTTTTATGAAGCATTTTGAGGTCTACCTATATGATCATGTTTAAATTTGTCTAAGAACATATGATTGACACATGGCAGAGTCAAAAAAAAAAATCCAAACTTATAAATTTCATCCCAGGGACCTTTCTACATCATTTGGACACTTTATAGACCAAGCTCCATTCTATTCTGCTCAGACACTACACCTTATCCCCACTCCACATTCAGGTATCGGCTCTCACTCTCTCTTTACTCATGCAAACACACACACACACACACACACACACACAGTCACAGATATCTCAATAAGAGAAGCTGTGGTTTTCCTTTCTCCACACCTCCTTCCACAGGGCTCCATGGGCTTGGTGCGGTAAGGAAGACGGGGCTGTTGCAAAGGTTCTTCTTTGGGTCTCTGATCTCTTCCCAACACTGTGTCACTAGCACTACAAAAGTAGAGGCTGCTGTCTGCAGGATGCGCACTCATCACTGTCAGAGTTGAAAATGTTAGGTTGGGGTGGCTGATGGGAAATTTGGCCTGGTAAAACCTTGTTCTTATGTTGGGCTGGAGTCCTGTTTAGAAGTTGCAATCAGTGTGAGGCACTGTTTCGGCAACTGATGATACAAAAATATAATTCTGGCCTGAAAGTCCATTGAATGGCACTCGATCCTCATGGAACTTCCATTCTTATAGATAGCCATGCTTGGATGTTGAAAGATGAGAGCACCAAGCCCAGAGCCTGCTGAAACTGAAGTCAAAGAGATGAAAGAGGTCAGCAGGACCAGTCAGACACGACCACAGGCAGAGAACTCACAGCCTCGCTCCCTCACCTTTCTCCCAGAAAATCCTGTTTGTTTTTTGAAATCTTCCTGTCAGACTGCCTGCAATCATAATCCTCCATCTCCCCTGACTGATGACTTCTCACCTCACTGTTTAAACCCCCTGTCATTTTGATCAGCATGAAAAATCCACAATCTCTGGCCACCACTTCACTCATGCCAACACACACTCACACTCGCCCAAGCTACTGATATGCTAAGGCTCCTACTGGGCCCCAGAAGCAGCAGAAGCATCAGCATCTTCAGGGGTTGGCCTCACACCACCCCTCTCTAGAGAGATAGTTAGCACCATGCTCTTCATTCTTCCTTTCTCCATCCCTAGAAGGATGAATGATTGCTTACATAATCTTGAGGATGCTCTAATCTGCTCCCTCATGGTGATCTTTGCCAATGATGCGAGATCTTTTACTCTTTTTCTCCAAGAACCATACACGTATTGCTGACAGGGGCCTCAAAAATGTTCTAATTCAACTCCTAATTTTATGGAAGATACACTGAGACCTAGGTGATTGAAATGACTGAAACAAGTTTCTTAGCCTTATATAGGGAAAGGAGTCTTGTTTGTGAAGTAAATGGTGTTATAGTTACCTCTTTACTTCTGTGCCATATTCTCAAAGTAACCAAGTGTAGTGTAAGCCCTGACAATAGGTTTTTCTTTTTTGTCATGCAAGTAGCTGAATTATGCTTTGATTGCAGAGGCATTCACTTCAAAGATGGCCATCTTAAATATACATACGTCCAGGCGCAGAGCTAGATAAAGAGCCAGGCCACTTCTCCTTTGCCCCCCAGCCCAAGCTTCTTTGTTTTAGAGACCTTGGTTGATTTCCATAACTGACCACTTGAGCCACTTGTGTTGTCTTTTCCTGTGCCTTAAATTCCTGCACTTATGTTTTAAATTCACCAATAAACAGTGAGCCCATGAAACCCTAGAATCTCACCCTCAACATCAATAAAAGCAGAACCTCAGGTCTGTAATCTCTCTTTCTCTACCTGAGAACTCACTGTGTAGCCCCACTCATGTCATATAATTTCCAGACCTGTAAGTATTAAACCTTTTTTCTTCAAAGTTTCCTGTTGGATAATGCTGAAGTCATCTTGCAACCATAAGAACCACAAGGGCGGGTCCAGACACAACACTGGTTATCGATAGGCTGAGACCAGCACACGACACCAAGACAACTCGTGGTTGTTAATCACCAGAACTATGGGTGAGCATAAGAAATCCTAGGGCAGAAGTTCAATATTTCTTTATATTGATGATAAAGACACTTCTTCATCTTGAATGAACTATTTATTTCACAACTATCTCATGCCAGTTCTCCTCATACTGATGTACTTAAGGCTAACCATGGGTATTTATTATAGTCTGTATGTCTTTGGGCAAAGCACTGTGGAGGCTGTGAGGAAACATTATTCATAATGGTCATAAGATAAGTATTGGCCAATGGAAATAGGTTCTAGAAGGTTTAGCGAATTATTTCTGCTTTGAACATGCTGGAATATTTGTTTTAAATGGCATACTCTATGAAATGTATAGCGATTTCAAGAGGCTGAAGATTTTTCTCCAAAGCAGTATACTTTCATTTTTATAACAACCTCCCAGTTGTGCTTTCACTTAATATTTAGCTCTTTTTATCTGGAGTGGGCAACTAAGAAATGTGGGATTAGGACTTGATCCGTCAAATTATGTTTGTACCATAGTGACATAGATTTTTATCATGGCAAGTGTAATTATTGCATACTAAATGTTACTACATACACAAGACTGATATGTGGATTAAAGGGCAACTGACATGCTCCTGTGGCTATATTTGGTTCATGGTTGGTACACACCACATTAGACTCCGACCACCCCCCACTATAACTATACTTTTCCTGCAAAGAGAAGGTGAAAGTACCTTGCAATGAATTACTTCTGGTATGACATTATGACGCATATGAGATGAAGTGGCTGGAAGCCCCCAGATCACAAGAAAATCTTTCTACCATATTTGAGGACCACCAGCCATCAGGTATATACCTGTGGTTTATATTATTATATCAACTTAACTAAGGCAGAAATACCTTTCCCAGAACCTTCTTCCTGATATAGTTCTCAATTAGAGTTGATCTCAAGAAAAAACATTTGCAAAGAAAGCAGCTGTTACTATGTTCTGAAGTCATCCTTGGTCCAAGGCAGTGAGAAACAGGATCAGCAGTACCCATTTATCATATTATGGTGGCTGCTCTTCAAAGATGGCACCCAGGTGAACCACAGCTCCCAGTATTCACATTCCTGTCAGTCTTTTCTTCTTGAGTCTTGACTGGCCTGTATGTGCTGGAAACAACACTGTCTGATTTTCCAAGCTCAGTCATAAACAGCCCTGTAGATCCCACTGGATCTTTTGAATGCTCATTTTTGGGGAAGCCAGCCACTATGTAATAATGTTAAGTATCCTGAGGCCACCATGCCATGA